GACAGTAAGGGCATTCTTTTTGCTGCACAACTTCTAGTTTTGCTTCATATCACTTTTTCAGTTTGTTTTTTAAAGAATCAAAATATTCATATGCCATTTTTTAAGGGCATAGGGCAATTGGATGATGTAGGGAAGGAATAGTAACTTTATTTATGAGGAGGAGAAGAGCAGGTAGATATCTGAGGAGCAGAACAGGAAGGTGTAGGAGAGGGTGGAGTGGAATGTTTAGGTTGCCTGGTATAACATATAAAGTGAGGAGGAGGGGTAGGTATCAGGGATGTGGTAGAGATTGGGGTATCAGGGTTTAGACTGGAAAACGAATTTGACTGGAGGATACAGTGAGATGTAGGATGGTTTAGGGTACAGGGGAGAGATACTGGGGGAGATGCAGAAATATTTTTTTATAGATGGTGGGGGAGCAGAGGGAAGGACTGTTTTGGAATAAGTTCAGAGAAAAAAACCTCGTCGTCATGCTTCTTTAAGAGTCTGACCTCATGTAGAGTGAGGCCTAGTTTAAATCTGAGGACTGCTGCTTCACATTCAAGCTTATAGGGAGGGCAGCTCCTATAAAATACATTATGGGAATCTCCATAATTGGCACATGACTGAGCAAGGAAATTGAATGGTCATGTCCAGGTTGGGCACATAGAGGGCATTGGGCTGTGGAATGACAGTGTTTGGCGAGATGGCCATTCTAAGACAATCCACCAATATTAACGTCATGGGGGAGGTCATGTCTACGGAAGCTAATCTTGCCAATATTGACATGGGACTTGTGGTGAGGGATGAATAGTGGAACACTGTACTGCCACCAGCATCCTATTCACCAAGGCAGATAAATAGGTCATTTTCACAGTCTGACAAGTCCTTGTTGTAAATAGGATAAGCATTTTGGGGGGATAGAAATAGTTCCAGTACAAGTATTAAGAGAGGGGAGAGGTTCAACAGAAATGAGTTTGTCAGTAAAGTCAGTTAGGGTTGATAGTGCACGAGCTTGGGATTCAGATGTAACTGTGACAAGGTGTGAAAGATCAGAGACTACGAAAGGTAACCTTGCCTACTTGTTTTTGGAAGCACTGTTAAAAGAGAAGGCTATTCTCTAAATAGGGGGATGTGGGGGAATCACAAAGAATTGATCCCACTTGGCTGGGTCAAAGAGAGTACTCAGAAGGTTTGCAGAGGTAGAGACAGTAGAAGGATGAGAGCGAGAGGAAGATAGGATGGTGTGGACTGGAGTAGCGCTGTGGGGGGGAGGACAATAAGGATGAAGAGTAGTAATAAGGGAAGAGGGGGTAGACATTTAAGAGGACTATGCAGTAGGAGATGGAGAGGAATATGTTGGGAGAGAGGACAGGGTGCTTTCTGGAGGTTGATTAATAACCTGTGTGGGTGTTTTGGAATGGTTAGAGCTGTTTGTAAGCATCAAAGAGGGGGTATTAGTATTAGTGGTCAGAGTCATGGTCAAAGGTGGGGCAGGGGTCAGAAAACCATCAAAATCAAAATTAAATAGGCTAGTTGGTGAAGGTCCCTTAATGCCCCTATTAGGGGTAAAGAATAAAATGGGGGAAAGAAACAGTCTACCCCTTAGGGTCCCCATAAGGGGTAAGGGCTAGGCAGTTAACCAGGGGAATACCATGCCCATGGTTCCTGGAGGCTGTTCATAACTGACACAAAGCCAGCCTTTCATCCTTTCAGTATGACTCTCACACCTTAGGAATGGGATAGAAGAAGGGGATGAAGAAGATACAGAAGAGGAAAGGAGAGAAGAAGGACCAAACAAAGTTGAGTTGAGGCAAAGGCTGAGGCCCAAGGTAGGGGTAATCCCTTACATTGGGCTTAGTCTCCGTCTCCTAAGCCCTCCCATGACAACAACGAGCAAGGTATTGGGAGGGAACTTGAGGAGAAGGAGGATGGATATCAACAAATACTTTAAATATACAAGGAATAGGAACAGAGGGATTGGAGGACTGATGGAGTGAAGTGTTCCCTTGGTCATCTTTAGGAGGTTTTGGATGTCTTCCAGAGTTTCTGGAAGGGTGTTGGGTTAGAAGGTCTGAGAAACAAAGGTGAGGAGGAGAAGCGGGGATAAAAGCTTGAGGAGCAGAGGAAGAGGAGGGTGTAGGAGATGATGCAGTATGAGAAGAATGAGTGGAATGTTTAAGTTGCCTGGTGTGACAAGAAAGGTGAAAAGATGGAATAGGTATCAAAGAGGTGGTAGAGATTGGAGTATCTGGATTTAGACAAAAAAAAAAAAAGAAAAAAACTTTGCTTGGGGGAGAGGGGAAGCAGAGGTAGGATGGCTCAGGGTAGGGGGAAGAGATACTAGAGAAAATGCGGAGACATCTTGAGAAGATGGGAGAGGAGCACAGAGAAGGACAGTTTTCAAATAGGTAGAGAAAAAAACCTTGTTGACATGCTTCCTGTCTGAACTCACATAGAGTGAGACCTAGTTTGAATCTGAGAATTGCTACCTCACATTTGAGCTTATAGGCAGGGTAAC